TTTGGGTCTCCCTGGCCCCCGAATTCACTATTTTGGTCTCTCCAAACCCCTGCATTCACTATATCTGGTCTCCGCAGCCCCTGCTTTTTTCTATATCCAGTCCCCCGGACCCTGCATTCCTATATCTGGTCTCCCCGCCCCCTTCATTCCAAATTTTGGGTTCCCCCGGGGCCCCTGCTTTCCCACTATTTCCGCTTCCCCGGACCCCGATTCATAATTGGGCCCTCCCCGGCCCCTTGCTTTTTAAATATATCTGGTCTCCCGGCCCCTTCATTCATTTATACCCTGGTCTCCCCGGCCCCTGCATTCACTAATCGGGGTCTCCCCGGCCCCTTTTGCATTTCATTTATCCGCTCCCCCCCCGGACCCTGCTTTTCACATACCCGGTCTCCCCGGACCCTGCATCACATTTTCCGCTCTCCCCGGCCCTTTTGCATTCACAAATACCCCGCTCTCCCAGGCCCCCGCATTCATAGTTTCCGCTCTCCCCGGACCCTGAATTCACTATATCCCTCTCCCCGGGAATCTTTTTTTTCACTATATTTGGTCCCCCACAGTACACACAACATGGAAATACAATTATTTTAGTGAATAAACTGCTAAAAAAAATTTTTCTTTCCGCGTTTATAGCAGTTTGGGGGGGACTTTTATCAGAATCCAGCAAGTTTAACGTTGTTGGAGGAGTTTTCGTTCTGCCCCCGACTGTTACTATGAAGCTGAAAGGGCCCGGGGCCCCTCTGTCTGGGACAGTGGGTTTTCTGGCTCTGTGCTGAAACACAAAGATCCCCCAAAAAAAAAAAAAAACTCTCCCAGCCCTACACACCTTTAAAACCCGGCATTTGCCGGGGTGACTTTTAAAAGGGTCTGTACTATCAGCGGGTGGATTGGGGGAAAAGTAGAAGGGTGGGGGGGGGGATCGAGAAAAACTGGGTCAAAGAGCCTTTTTAAAAAAATGCGGGGAAAGGGTTAAACCCCTTAGGTTCCCCAGTGAGATAACAAGCATGATTACTGCCTTACAGACTGATTGTTCCAGTTGGGGGTTTAGTACACTTTACTGAACAAGCTGCAAGTTAGTAGCTGATTGGGGCTATCATGTACAGCTGCAACAGATTTTGTACTCCCCAAATTTAGTAAATCAACCCCATTCAATTCTAATTTCACTCTTTTTATGTTCTGCCTTTTTTTGTCCGATTTTTTTCTTCATTTTCTCTGAATTCTATCCACATATGTTACAGCATAACTGGAAGCAGTATCGTTTTTTTTTGTAATTTCGGAGTAGAGCAGAGTTGGATTAGGACTCCTGTTCAGATGTTCTCTTGTTGGCTGTTCCCCATATAGGGAGATTGTCACCCTCTCTGTTTGTCCTGTTTACAGGTACCATTGAAAGTGAAAGAAAATCTCACAATGTGAGCTGTCAGCAGAACAGGAAGAGAGGAGAAATCTTCTAATGGGGAACACCAGTGCTGGTGACAACCAGTTTCCTTCACCTTGGAGGATTTCCTCTCACTTTCTGCTTTGGGCTATAAGACAAGAAGTGAAGGGGAATCTCCACAATAGGACACAGATGGCAAAAGAGTAAAAGGGACAGGAGATATAACCCTCCCTTGCTCTTAATTCAAAAATGGAAAAATTTTTTTTTAGCTTGAGTTCTACTTTAATGGATAAGTTTGCATTTTAGCAGAAATTAATAAGCGCACAATTTTGTGCAGGTAAAAAATGTGCATTTATTATTTTTGTTTGTGAAGCCTCTAAAGCAGGGCTCTCCAAACCTTCTAAGCAAAGGGCCTGTTTACTGTCCTTCAGACTTTAGGAGGGCCGGAATGACCAGTGAAAGTAGAAAATGTCCCAGCGTCAGCAGTAGTAAACAAAAGACACAGTGCTTGTAGTCAGTGGAAGGAGGAATAATTTCCAGTCATTGGTATCAGTGGGGGGAATAGTGTCCCATCATTGGTGTCAGTGGGAGGAATAGTGCCCCATCATTGGTGTCAGTGGGGGGAATAGTGTCCCATCATTGGTATCAGTGGGAGGAATAGTGCCCCATCATTGGTATCAGTGGGAGGAATAGTGTCCCATCATTGGTAATAATGGAAGGAATAGTGCCCCATCATTGGTGTCAGTTGGTGGAATAGTGTCCCATCATTGGTATCAGTGGGAGGAATAGTGTCCCATCATTGGTATCAGTGGGAGGAATAGCGCCCCATCATTGGTATCAGTGGGAGGAATAGTGCCCCATCATTGGTGTCAGTGGGGGGAATAGTGTCCCATCATTGGTATCAGTTGGGTGGGAGGAATAGTGCCCCATCATTGGTATCAGTGGGAGGAATAGTGTCCCATCATTGGTGTCAGTGGGAGGAATAGTGCCCCATCATTGGTATCAGTGGGAGGAATAGTGTCCCATCATTGGTAATAATGGAAGGAATAGTGCCCCATCATTGGTGTCAGTTGGTGGAATAGTGTCCCATCATTGGTATCAGTGGGAGGAATAGTGTCCCATCATTGGTATTAATGGAAGGAATAGTGCCCCATCATTGGTGTCAGTGAGAGGAATAGTGTCCCATCACTGGTGTCAGTGGGAGGAATAGTGTCCCATCATTGGTATAAGTGAGAGGAATAGTGTCCCATCATTGGTATTAATGGAAGGAATAGTGTCCCATCACTGGTGTCAGTGGGAGGAATAGTGTCCCATCATTGGTGTTAGTGGGGGGAATAGTGCCCCATCATTGGTGTTTAGTGGGAGGAATAGTGCCCCATCATTGGTGTCAGTGGGGGGAATAGTGCCCTATCATTGGTATAAGTGGGGGGAATAGTGTCCCATCTTTGATATCAGTGGGGGCAATAGTGCCCCATCATTGGTGTCAGTGGGAGGAATAGTATCCCATCATTGATATCAGTGGGGGGAATAGTGCCCCATCATTGGTATTAGGGGGAGGAATATTGCCCCATCATTGGTGTGAGTGGGAGGAATAGTGCCCATCATTGGTGTCAGTGGGAGGAATAGTGTCCCATCATTGTTAATAGTGGAAGGAATAGTGCCACATCCTTGGTATCAGTGGGGGGAATAGTGTCCCACCATTGGTATTGGGGGGAGGAATAGTGTCCCATCATTGGTGTCAGTGGGAGGAATAGTGCCCTATCATTGGAATCAGTGGGAGGAATAGTGCCCATCATTTTATATTAGTTGGAGAAATAACGCCCCATCATTGGTATCAGTGGGAGGAGGAATAGTGTCCCATCATTGGTATCAGTGGGAGGAATAACTCCCCATCATTGGTATCAGTGGGAGGAATAGTGCCCCATTATTGGTGTCAGTGGGAGGAATAACTCCCCATCATTGGTATCAGTGGGAGGAATAGTGTCCCCATCATTGGTATCAGTGGGAGGAATAACTCCCCATCATTGGTATCAGTGGGAGGAATAGTGCCCCATTATTGGTGTCAGTGGGAGGAATAGTGCCCCATCATTGGAATTAGTGGGAGGAATAACGCCCCATCATTGGTATCAGTGGGAGGAATAGTGTCCCATCATTGGTATCAGTGGGAGGAATAGTGCCCCATCATTGGTATCAGTGGGAGGAATAACTCCCCATCATTGGTATCAGTGGGAGGAATAGTGCCCCATCATTGGTATTAGTGGGAGGAATATTGCCCCATCATTGGTATCAGTGGGAGGAATAGTGCCCCTTCATTGCTATTAATGGAAGGAATAGTGCCCCATCCTTGGTATCAGTGGGGGGGAATAGTGCCCCATCATTGTATTATTAATGGGATGAATAGTGCCCCATCCTTGGTATCAGTGGGGGGAATAGTGCCCCTATCATTGGTATTAGTGGGAGGAATAGAACCCCATCATTGGTATTAGTGGGAGGAATAGTGCCCCATCCTTGGTATCAGTGGGGGAATAGTGCCCCATCATTGCTATTAATGGGAGGAATAGGCCCCCATCTTGGTATCAGTGGGGGGAATAGTGCCCCATCATTGGTATCAGGGAATAGTGCCCCATCATTGGTATTAGTTAGTGGGAGGAATAGTGCCCCATCATTGGTATTAGTGGGAGGAATAGTGCCCCATCATTGGTATTAGTGGGAGGAAATAGTGCCCATCATTGGTATCAGTGGGAGGAATAGTGCCCCATCATTGGTATCAGTGGGAGGAATAGTGTCCCATCATTGGTATCAGTGGGAGGAATAGTGCCCCATCATTGGTATCAGTGGGAGGAATAGTGCCCCATCATTGGTGTCAGTGGGAGGAATAGTGCCCCATCATTGGTATTCAGTCAGGAATAGTGCCCCATCATTGGTGTCAGTGGGAGGAATAGTGCCCCATCATTGCTATTAATGGGGGAATAGTGCCCCATCCTTGGTATCAGTGGGGGGAATAGTGCCCCATCATTGCTATTAATGGGAGGAATAGTGCCCCATCCTTGGTATCAGTGGGGGAATAGTGCCCCCCATATTGGTATTAGTGGGAGGAATAGAACCCCATCATTGGTATTAGTGGGAGGAATAGTGCCCCATCCTTGGTGTCAGTGGCGGGAATAGTGCCCCATCATTGCTATTAATGGGAGGAATAGTGCCCCATCATTGGTATCAGTGGGGGAATAGTGCCCCATCATTGGTATCAGTGGGAGGAATAGTGCCCCATGATTGGTATTAGTGGGAGGAATAGTACCCCATCTTTGGTATCAGTGGGGGAATAGTGCCCCATCATTGGTATTAGTGGGGGGAATATAGTGCCCATCATTGGTATTAGTGGGAGGAATAGTGCCCCATCATTGGTATTAGTGGGAGGAAATAGTGCCCATCATTGGTATCAGTGGGAGGAATAACGCCCCATCATTGGTATCAGTGGGAGGAATAGTGCCCCATCATTGGTATCAGTGGGAGGAATAACTCCCCATCATTGGTATCAGTGGGAGGAATAGTGCCCCATCATTGGTGTCAGTGGGAGGAATAGTGCCCCATCCTTGGTATTAGTGGGAGGAATATTGCCCCATCATTGGTATCAGTGGGAGGAATAGTGCCCCTTCATTGCTATTAATGGGAGGAATAGTGCCCCATCCTTGGTATCAGTGGGGGGAATAGTGCCCCATCATTGCTATTAATGGGAGGAATAGTGCCCCATCCTTGGTATCAGTGGGGGGAATAGTGCCCCATCATTGGTATTAGTGGGAGGAATAGAAACCCATCATTGGTATTAGTGGGAGGAATAGTGCCCCATCTTGGTATCAGTGGGGGGAATAGTGCCCCATCATTGCTATTAATGGGAGGAATAGTGCCCCATCCTTGGTATCAGTGGGGGGAATAGTGCCCCATCATTGGTATCAGTGGGAGGAATAGTACCCCATCTTTGGTATCAGTGGGGGGAATAGTGCCCATCATTGGTATTAGTGGGGGGAATAGTGCCCATCATTGGTATTAGTGGGAGGAATAGTGCCCCATCATCATTGGTGTCAGTGGGAGGAATAGTGCCCCATCATTGTATCAGTGGGGGGAATAGTGCCCCGTCATTGGGTATAAGTGGGAGGAATAGTGCCCCATCATTGGTATCAGTGGGAGGAATAGTGCCCATCATTGGTGTCAGTGGGAGGAATAGTGCCCCATCATTGGTATCAGTGGGAGGAATAGTGCCCCATCATTGGTATCAGTATTAGTGGGAGGAATAGTGTCTCATCATTGGTATCAGTGGGAGGAATAGTGCCCCATCATTGGTATCAGTGGGAGGAATAGTGCCCCATCATTGGTATCAGTGGAAGGAATAGTGCCCCATCATTGGTATTAGTGGGAGGAATAGTGTCTCATCATTGGTATCAGTGGGAGGAATAGTGCCCCATCATTGGTATCAGTGGAGGAATAATGCCCCATCATTGGTATTAGTGGGGGGAATAGTGCCCCATCATTGGTATTAGTGGGGGAATAGTGCCCCATCATTGGTATCGTGGAAGGAATAGTGCCCCATCATTGGTGTCAGTGGGAGGAATAGTGTCCCATCATTGGTATCAGTGGGAGGAATAGTGTCCCATCATTGGTATCAGTGGGAGGAATAGTGCCCCATCATTGGTATTGGGGGGAGGAATAGTGTCCCATCATTGGTGTCAGTGGGAGGAATAGTGCCCCATCATTGGTATTAGTGGGAGGAATAGTGCCCATCATTGGTATCAGTGGGAGGAATAGTGCCCCATCATTGGTATCAGTGGGAGGAATAGTGCCCTATCATTGGTATCAGTGGGAGGAATAGTGCCCCATCATTGGTATTAGTGGGAGGAATAGTGCCCATCATTGGTATCAGTGGGAGGAATAACGCCCCATCATTGGTATCAGTAGGAGGAATAGTGTCCCATCATTGGTATCAGTGGGAGGAATAGTGCCCCATCCTTGGTATCAGTGGGAGGAATGGTGTCCCATCATTGGTATCAGTGGGAGGAATAGTGCCCCATCATTGCTATTAATGGGAGGAATAGTGCCCCATCATTGGTATCAGTGGGGGGAATAGTGCCCCATCATTGGTATTAGTGGGAGGAATAGAACCCCATCATTGGTATTAGTGGGAGGAATAGTGCCCCATCCTTGGTATCAGTGGGGGGAATAGTGCCCCATCATTGGTATTAATGGGAGGAATAGTGCCCCATCCTTGGTATCAGTGGGGGGAATAGTGCCCCATCATTGGTATTAGTGGGAGGAATAGAACCCCATCATTGGTATTAGTGGGAGGAATAGTGCCCCATCCTTGGTATCAGTGGGGGGAATAGTGCCCCATCATTGGTATCAGTGGGAGGAATAGTGCCCCATCATTGGTATTCAGGGGAGGAATAGTGTCCCATCATTGGTGTCAGTGGGAGGAATAGTGCCCCATCATTGGTATTAGTGGGAGGAATAGTGCCCATCATTGGTATCAGTGGGGAGGAATAGTGCCCCATCATTGGTATTGGGGGGAGGAATAGTGTCCCATCATTGGTGTCAGTGGGAGGAATAGTGCCCCATCATTGGTATTAGTGGGAGGAATAGTGCCCCATCATTGGTATCAGTGGGAGGAATAACGCCCCATCATTGGTATTAGTGGGAGGAATAGTGCCCCATCATTGGTATCAGTGGGAGGAATAGTGCCCCATCATTGGTATTAGTGGGAGGAATAGTGCCCATCATTGGTATCAGTGGGAGGAATAACGCCCCATCATTGGTATCAGTAGGAGGAATAGTGTCCCATCATTGGTATCAGTGGGAGGAATAGTGCCCCATCCTTGGTATCAGTGGGAGGAATAGTGTCCCATCATTGGTATCAGTGGGAGGAATAGTGCCCCATCATTGCTATT